CACAGGATCAGAGCGCTCTCAAGTTCTCTTCCTTTCTACACTGCAGCTGCAGTTAGGCCAGCAGGCTCTTCCTGGGAACACCCTGACCTCTCCACTCCTTTTTGACACTTCTGCCGTTCCTATCTTCCCTCGCTTCATCTTTGCATCATTCCCCTTGGTGGAGGGTGGTAAGTTGATCAGTTCAGTATCCGAGCATTCATTCTTCCAAATCTGTTGTTTATGACCCTGAAATCAATGACTTCTTTTGTTCCACTGGGTCCTGAGTCAGTGACTAAAGAGGGAGTGTCTCAGAGTACAAGGAAGTGTGTGTGTGTGTGTGTGTGTGTGTGTGTGTCCTGTGATACTATCTCAAAACATTCTCCCGTGCCAGAGATGTGTCAGGTTGAGGAGGTGCAGAGGAAGGGCGGGAGGCTAAGGAAACAGCGCTGACTCCTGGGCTTGGGCCATGCCTGGACTGAAAACAGAGGAGGGACTGAGATATGTGTGTCTGGGGCACAGTGAGACTATGACGGCAAGCTTTGGGCTGGAGAAAGGCCGAATGAACTTGAGTCAGATGTGCCCAGAGGCCCTGGCTAGGAGAGAGCGGAAGCAGAGGCAGGACTTAGGTGGTGGGAGGGGTATGGGGGGGGGGAGATAGGGGCACCTGGCCTTGGGAGAGGGTAGGAGGCCAGTAGAATGGATGTGTCTTACTGCCTGCTTGTGTGGTGTCTGGCAGCTGGAAACAGGATTTTCTTTTCCTGTTTTTGCCAGGATTTGGACAGAGGGAAGTTCTGGGATTACCCAGACCTGTGGCCACTCCGAGTCCCAGGAACAAGCCAGGGTATGCCTTGTGGGGTCATCAAAGGCAGCCCCAAGGTCCTATGCTTTGTGTGACTGCCTCATGTGGGACTTCTCCAAAGCCTGTGGAATCTGGAAATCTGGAATGAACCAGAGAGGTTAGAAGGGGACAGGGTGTGTGTGTGTGTGTGTGTGTGTGTGTGTGTGTGTCACTGTCGACATGGAGCTTATGTCTATCTCCTTTTAAAACATCAATTCCAGTCCTAGCCAGATTGGCTCAGTGGATAGAGCATCGGCCTGCAGATTGAAGGGTCCCATATTCAATTCTGGTCAAGGGCAGTGCCCTGGGGCTCAATCCCCAATAGGGAGCGTGCAAGAAGCATCCGATCCATGATTCTCTCTCATCGTTAATGTTTCTATCTCTCTCTCCCTCTTCCTTCCCCTCTGAAATTAATTAAAATATATTTTAAAAATAAAATAAACATCAACCCCGCCAGGGCTACGACTTTGTCTTGTGTACGCTCTGTGCCAGGCACATCGGAGGCACACAGCCAATACCTGGTGAATGAGTGATTCAGGAGCGGAGGCATTTCCCAGCATGGGTCTGAGGGCCCGAGGGCAGAAGGCTGACCCTAACAGGGAAGTCAGAGGGAGACAGATTTGGACCCTCCATCTGAAAGGACCTTGAAACACCAGAGCGTCTGTGAGCATCCTATTGCCTAACTGACCAGACTGGGGCAGAGATGGATCTGGAGGGGCACCGAGGAAGCTGACTCTGACTCTAGGACTTGGCTCATGGTCACATTGCGATAGGTAACTGCACAAAATGTCCCCTCTCAAGTCAGACATAACCGGTTCAAATCCTGACTCCTCCATTAAGCTGTGTGGCCTTGGGCATGTTACTCAATGTCTCTGAACCTGTTCCCATGAGTAGATACCAATGGGACAACACCTATCCCAAAAGTGGGTTGTAAGCTTTAGATTCAAATGGTCACCCATGTACAGCATTTAGCTCAGCACCTGGCACACCGCCAATGCCCAAGCATTAGCTGCCATTACAGGGCTGGAGCCCGGCCGGCGGGGCTGCTGTCCAGGGCCCGTGAACAAGGACCGCTCACATGTGAAGTGGAGAAGAGAGATGAAACAAGCATCACCGTTGGTCATTGACGTCAGCTGAAGGATGGGTATGTGAGGCTAATTATACCATTCTCTTTAATACTGAGTGTGTTTGGCCTAGCTGGTTTGGTTCAGTGGATAGTCAACCTGTGGACCAAAGGGTCCAGGGTTTGATCCGGTCAAGGGCATGTACCTTGGTTGCAGTCTCTCCCAGGCGTGGGCCCTGGTTGGGGCTCCTGCAGGAGGCAGCCAATTGATGTGTATCTCACATTGGTGTTTGTCTTTCCCTCTCTCTTCCACTCTCCACCCCCACCCCCCAAATATCACAATGAAACCTTATGTGTTTGAAAATGTTCAAAATGAAAAAGCTAAAATCTGCCGAAACTGGTTTGGCTCAGTGGTAGAGCGTCGGTCTGCGGACTGAAAGGTCCCAGGTTCGATTCCGGTCAAGGGCATGTACATTGGTTGTGGGCACATCCCAGGTAGGGGGTGTGCAAGAGGCAGCTGGTCGATGTTTCTCTTTCATTGACGTTTCTAGCTCTTTATCTCTCTCCCTTCCTCTTTGTAAAAAAATCAATAAAAATATATTTTTTTAAAAAATAAAAAGCTAAAATCTTTCTACCGAGGAAAACAACAGCTACAGGCAATTTTACTGGTGAGTTTTATAAATCCTTTAAGGAATAGCTCTAGCCAGTTAGGTTCAGTGGATAGAGCGTCGGCCCTCGGACTGAAGGATCCTGGGTTGGATTTCAGTCAAGGGCAAGTATCTCAGATGCAGGCTCGATCCCTGGTCCTGGTGGTCGAGGTGCATGTGGGAGGCAACCAATCAATATGCATCTCTCACATCGATGTTTCTCTCCCCCTCCCTTTCACTCTCTCACTCTCTCTAAAAATTAATGGAAAAATATCCTATCCTCGGGTGAGGATTTACAGCAACAAAATCTTTTAAGGAACAAAGTATTCCAAACTTACATGGACTTTTCCAGAGAATAGAAAAGGTGATATTTTTCTTCAAATCATTCTATGAGGCTGATACAACTTTGATACCAAAATTAGACAAGGTCAGGACAAATGAAGGGAAACTACAGTCATTTCATTTACAAAGAGAGTTGCAAAATCCTCTCCTAAATATCAGTGAATCAAATTCCACAATATGACACCACCATGAGCAAGTTAAGTTTATCTCAAAATACAAGATGGTTTGCTATTAGGAAATCTATGTAATACTCTACATTAACAGATAAAGGAGAAAAATCTCATGATCTCTATAGATGCAGGAAGAGCATTTGATAAAAACCAACACCGATTTCTCATAACCATTATTAGTAAATGAAGAGTAGAAAGGAGCTTCCTTTTTAAAAATATATAAATTTTTATTGATTTTAGAGGAGGGGGGAGAAACATCAATGATGAGAGAGAAGCATTCATTGGCTGCCGCTGCCTTCTGCACACACCCTACTGGGAATGGAGCCCACAACCCAGGCATGTGCCCTTGGCCAGAATTGAACCTGGGACCCCTCAGTCCGCAGACCAACAGGCAAACCAGCTAGAGATGAAAGGAGCTACCTTAACTTGACAATGGATATGTACCAAAAATTACAAATAGTCTAGGAACAAGATCTGTTTCAGTAATCACATTTTTGGTGATAGAGTTGGTATTGTTATGCTGGGAGTGTTTTGTGTATAGTGTGAGGTAGATCAAAAGAATAACTGATTAGTATCATTGATAATTTATATCCTTTGGTAAAGAGTACATAAAATTTACCATTTCAACCACTTTAAGTATACAGTTCAGTGGCATTAAGTACATTCACATGGTTGAGCAACTATCGTCATTATCTCCAGAATCTTTTCATTATCCGCCAACATAAACTTGGTATCCATTACACACTAACTCCCCATCCTTGCTGTCCTAGCCATGGGTAGCCATTATTCTACTTTCTGCCTCTGTGAACTTAACTCTGTACCTCATACAAGGCCGCCCACTTGCACCTGGCTTACTGCCCTTAAAATGTACTCAAGGATTGTCCTGCGGTAGCAGGTATCAGAATTTCATTTTTAAAGGATCATGCAAGGGTCAGGGGTGATTGCCTGTCATTAAGCAAAGGTTATAAGGAGCCTCTTCTGCGCCTCGGAAAAGTAAATGCCTTGACTAACCCGGGCCAGCCACGAGAGAAACGAAATGAGTGGGAGGGCGGTAACTGTTTTCACTTTTCTCTTCCTGTTTTCTCAGGGTCTGAGAAAGCGGCTCAGAATTTCCAGTCTTTTCCAATTCCCACATGATTCCCTAATTTAGAACGAACTCGGAGGAAAATAAAGTCGTTTTCCATCTGGGGAAGCCTCCGCCGCCGCCCGCCGGGAGCACCCTGCCTCCGGCCTCCGGGCCTGCGCCGAGGCCCGCGGGGGCGGGGGGACCCCGGACACCGCCCAGGGGGCCGCTCTGTCCCCCCCGGGGGCGGGGGCGGGGGCGGCGGCCCAGGGGCCCGGGCCTCCTGAGGTGCAGTCAGGCCGCAGGGACGAGGCCCGGGGCCACACCGCCGGGCGCCGCTGCCCCCAGGCCGGGCTGCGGAGTGATGCCCCCACACCGCGCTGTCCTCGCGCGTAGCTGCGCCCCGCTCCCCGCTCCCCGCTCCAGGCCCGGCGGAGGCCCCCGCCGTCGGGAACGCGGCCGCGCTCGGCCCCGGGAGCGGCCTGGCCCTGCGGGGCGGGCGGCCGGCGCCTGGCGGCGCTCCAGGCGGTGACATCACCGCTCCCCCGCGGCGGGAGGGGCCCCGAAATCCCCTAAACCGAGCCGCCGCCGGCCCGCCCTCCGCGCGGCGCAACCGAGAGCGACCGACCGGCCGCCCGCAGCGCCCGCGGACAGAGCCCCGGCCCCGGCCCCGGCCCCCGACCCCCGGCGCGGCGCCCCCGCCAGGCCCGGCGGCCGCAGCTGAGCCGGAGCCGGAGCCCCGCGGCGGGAGGGGCGGCGGCGGCGGCGGGGCCAGCGCGCAGGCGCGCCTTCCCGGCAGCGACCGCGGCGGCATTTCCGCCTCAGGCGAATGGCTCCGCAGTAGCGCCCGCGCCCAGCTGCGACCCCGGCCCCGCCCCCGGGCCCCGGGACCCCGGCCATGGACGGTGAGGGCGCCCGGGCCGGGGTGGGCGTGCGGGCGCGGGGCCGCGGCGGGACCCCCGCGCCGCCTTCCGCCCCGTCCTGCGCGGAGGGGCCGCGGGGGCCGCGGGGCGGGGCGGCGCGGGGCGGCTCACGGGCCCTCCCTCCCGGGCTGCGGGACCTGGGCTCAGGAGGGGGCGGAAGCGGGCGCTTTGACTCAGTTTCCCCCCGGACTCCGGGGCGGTTCTGAGTCCGCGCCCCTGTTGGGGGAGAGCGTGCCTGACTCGGTTTCCTCTCAGGGTCCCGGTGGGAGGGGCCGCCCCGTCGTTTCCCTTTGGGAAGTAAGAAAGGGCCTGACTCAGTTTCCCCGAGTGAAGGGGGAACGCCATCCCGGGGTTCCTGGCTCCTCTCCCACCTCTGAGTTTCGCTCAGGTTCCAGGGGGCAGGCCCTGACTCAGTTTCCCCGGGAGGCCCTCCCCGGTGGAGCTGGGAAGGGGCCTGTGCTGACCCTTTTCTCCCTCCCCTTCCAGACCTGTTCCCCCTCATCTTCCCGTCCGGTAAGTGGACCTCCTCCCTCCCCCGAGGGCCGCCGGCGCGGGGGGCGGGCGCCGCCTGACGGGCTGTGTGTCCGCAGAGCCCGCCCAGGCGCCCGGCCCCTTCGTGGAGATCATCGAGCAGCCCAAGCAGCGGGGCATGCGCTTCCGCTACAAGTGCGAGGGCCGCTCGGCGGGCAGCATCCCCGGCGAGAGGAGCACGGACACCACCAAGACCCACCCCACCATTAAGGTCAGCGGGGCCTGCAGGGCCGGGGCGGAGAGTGGGGGGTGGAGAATCCGGGTCTGGAACTCCTGAGCCTCAGCGCGCTCTGTGCTTCGGACAGATCAATGGCTACACGGGGCCAGGGACGGTTCGCATCTCCCTGGTCACCAAGGACCCCCCGCACCGGCCGCACCCCCACGAGCTGGTAGGGAAAGACTGCCGGGATGGCTTCTACGAGGCTGAGCTCTGCCCGGACCGCTGCATCCACAGGTGAGCTCCCGCAGGCCCGCGCTTCGGGGTGAGGTGGGAGGACAAGGCGAGGGCTGGGGGCACCATGACCGAGTTCTTCTTCCCGGACACGGGGCGGAATTCTCCCTGCTGCTCTGTCCCCAGCTCTGCAGGCAGAGTCCTCGGTCTTGAAAGGATGTGTATGTGTCTGATCTCTGAAGCAGATCTACGTCATTGCAGCGCAAGTGGGAAGCCATATCAGATGGGGCTGGGTCCCTAATTACCTCTGACCCTAACCGTGTGGCTGGAACATGTCTTTCTCACCAGAAAGAAAACCATAGAACCAACAGTCTCCCCTGGAGCTTACATGCCAGTTGACAGAGACAGGCTGTAAATAAAAATATAAATAATAAGCAAAACCCTGCTTGAGAGTAATACCCTAAAGAGGAAGATGAAACAGGAATAGGTCGAAGACTAGCCTGGGTGGGGAGGCGAGGGAGCTGGTCTCATCGGTTTGAACTGGGAGGGCAGGAAGGCTGCCTCCGGGTAAGATGCAGGTGAGCTGGAGCAGGGAGGCTCGGAGAGGACACTCCGAGCAGAAGGAACAAGGGCAGAGGCTCTGACGTGGGAATGAGGCTAGCGTGTTTGGAGAACAGAAAAGCCGCTGTGACTGAAGGTGGGAGCTGGCAGGGCTGTGGCGAGGGCCAGGTCACAGGCAGAGGGTCTTGTCAGCCAGGAAGGAGTGGGCTTCACTGTAGCACAGCAGGAAGCCATGCCAGAGGGTAAGCATGGCGTGGTGGGCTGGTGAGGGGACAGGGAAGGAAGGGACAGATGGGGTGAGGCAGGAGGGCCCAGCGCTGCTGGAGACAGGGCGCCTGACGTCTGGGGACTCAGCTTCCAGAACCTGGGGATCCAGTGTGTGAAGAAGCGGGACCTGGAGCAGGCCATCAGTCAGCGCATCCAGACCAACAACAACCCCTTCCAAGGTGAGGGCCCACCCGGAGCGCCCCCACCCTCTGTCACCCTCCTGAGGCCACGTCCCTGCATCTCCCTCATTGGCCAAGACTCACAGTACAGCTGGACTCTGGCCACTCCCATTTTACCACTGGGGAAACAGACCCAGAGAGGGGACATGACAGCCAGGGTTGCGCAGGTCAGTGATGGGTCTAGAACCTTCTCTTCCTCCTCTAGGACGCCTCCTGTTTCACACACCCTCAAACAGCCCTTCCTAGCCCCAGCTTCCCCCCCCCCCCCCCGCCCCGCCCCGCTCTCCTGACAGCCGCTTTCCTGGCAGTTCCCATAGAGGAGCAGCGCGGAGACTACGACCTGAATGCCGTGCGGCTCTGCTTCCAGGTGACAGTGCGGGACCCATCGGGCAGGCCCCTCCGCCTGCCTCCTGTCCTCTCTCATCCCATCTTTGACAACCGTGAGTGGCCAGGGAGTGCAGGAAGGGAGAGGAGTGGGCCTGTGGGGAGGAGTTGGTGGTATGGCTGCGAGGGGTACTCTGGCTTCGTTCGGTCATCCGGCCTTTTCGTCATCTCGGTGTGCAGTCCTGCTGGCCGGGGAGACAAGGCAGGGAAGACTCAGCTGTCTGTGGCGCAGCTTCCAGGCCGGCAGGGAGTGAGATGAAAGGATGCGTGCCCAGAACTGTAATAATGACTCCAGGAAATGAGCTCCCAGAAGCAAAAGACAATGTTAGAAAGTAATTCAATGATGAAAGCTGACAGGAAGTTCACAGATCAATTGGGCCGACATTGATTAATTGTAGTCTTTAATTAAATAACCAAAAGGAGCCGAAACCGGTTTGGCTCAATGGATAGAGTGTCAGCTTGGGGACTGAAGGGACCCGGGTTCGATTCCAATCAAGGGCATGTACCTAGGTTGCGGGCATAACCCCAGTAGGGGGTGTGCAAGAGGCAGCTGATTGATGACTCTCATCGATGTTTCTAACTCTCTATCTCTCTCCCTTCCTCTCTGTACAAAATCAATAAAATATATTTTAAAAATAAATAAATAACCAAAAGGATGAATGAAAACAAAGGGCTCTTGCCCTGGCCGGTGTTGCTCAGTGGTTGGGCATTGCTCCATGCACCAAAAGGTTACCAGTTTGATTGCTGGTCCGGGCACATGCCTGGGTTGCTGGCTTGATCCCCAGTGGGGGGCGTGCAGGAGGCAGCCTATTCTTGTTACGTCCTCACATTGATGTTTCTCTTTCTCCCTTCCTCTCTATCTAAAAATCAATAGAAGTAGCCGAGACCGGTTTGGCTCAATTGATAGAGCATCGGCTTGGGAACTGAAGGGTCCCGGGTTCGATTCCTGTCAAAGGCATGTACCTTGGTTGCGGGCACATCCCCAGTAGGGGGTGTGCAAGAGGCAGCTGATTGATGACTCTCTCTCATCGATGTTTCTAACTCTATTTCTCTCCCTTCCTCTCTGTACAAAATCAATAAAATATATTAAAAAAAAATAAAATAAAAATCAATAGACGTATTCTAAAAAAATAAAATACAAGAGCTCTAGGCCCTAAGGACAGGAAACTAGAATGCATGGGGCATGGGGCAGGGGGTGGGGGAGGGGGTGGGGGTTCTGGAGGGGAGGGTTCATTGCCAAAGTGGGTGTAATCAACTGAGAAAGGAGGTGTGGCCAGATTGGCTCCCATGACTGTAACTCCATGAGGGCAGACATGCTTCGGTGTGAGTCGTCGCATTCGTGCCTATAAGAGTGCGGGGCACACAGTAGGACTAGAGGAGAGGCGGGTGCTGAGTTGGGGTGAGGAGCCAGTGGGAATGGTTGAGCCGTGGCTGCAAAGATGTGGCCAGCAAGCTCTGCAGACCCTGGCTTTGGGACGGACCCGGATGTTGCACCGCGGTAGGCCAGTCCTGGAGAAAGTCCTCTACCTTTCTTCCTTGTTCCCACCCGCAGGCGCCCCCAACACAGCGGAGCTCAAGATCTGCCGAGTGAACCGGAACTCCGGGAGCTGCCTCGGCGGGGACGAGATCTTCCTGCTGTGTGACAAGGTGCAGAAAGGTACGTTCCAGGAAGCAGGGCGAGGCTCGAGCAGGGTGCGGGGCGAGGCGGAGCAGAGGTGGGAAGTGGGGGAACTGGCTTTAGTGCTCCCCCCGCCACCTCGGGGAAGCCTGTGAGCGGTGGGGCGGGTGGGCTGCGGTGAGGCGAGCACAGCCCACACCGCCGCTCTCTCCGCAGAGGACATTGAAGTGTACTTCACGGGGCCGGGCTGGGAGGCCCGCGGCTCCTTCTCCCAAGCCGACGTGCACCGGCAAGTGGCCATTGTGTTCCGGACGCCTCCCTACGCGGACCCCAGCCTGCAGGCCCCCGTGCGCGTCTCCATGCAGCTGCGGCGGCCCTCGGACCGGGAGCTCAGCGAGCCCATGGAGTTCCAGTACTTGCCGGACACAGGTATGCAGCCACAGCGGAGGCTGGCGCAGCGGAGGAGAGCGAGGCCGGGCTGGGTGTAGCTGAGTCTGAAGCTGGAGCTGGTGGGATTGACTCAGTAATCACTTTCTTTCTGGCCTTGCTTAGTAATAACAATATTCAAGACTATTGAGCTCTTATTGCACTCTTGCATCTATTTCAAGCATATCAGTGCATCGCCTGATTTTATTCTCAGGAACTCTTTGAGGTAGGAGATAGCATCTAATCTGCCTGAGGTCACACAGATAGTGAACCAGAGTCAGCAACTGAACGCAGGTCCCTTTACCACGCCGTGTCCTCTCTTGTCACTGTCACACGGCATGGTTTCGTCAAGGCTTTTGTGCATCTCACCACAGAATGATCCTCTGTCCAGTGCCCCTCATCGAGCCTGTTTTCTGCCCTAGGAGCTTGGAAAGCAGCCCCCAAACCAGCCAGCAATTCATTCCACAAATAATTATTGAGGGCCACTTGATGCCAGGGCCTGTGCCAGGTATTGTGAACACAGAGATGACTAAGACGTGGTCCCTGACCCCAGAGGTTCAGTCACGTGAGGAAGCCATGCAAACAGAGTGACTTGTGAAACGGAGGGAGGTATGTGCTGGAGGCAGCAGCAGGAGGAGGTGGCACTGAAATGGAGAAAGGTAGAAGCACGCCCCCAGGCAGGTGCACAGCGCCGGGGAGGGAGGGTGTTGGAGCATGCACAGTGTTTGGGGCAGCTTTGTGGTGGGAGGTGGCACTGGGCAGTGAGCAGGCCCGGGCAGGAGAGCCATCAATGTTAGGTTTCGTCCTGAAGGCAGTGGGCAGCCACCGAAGGTTTTTAAGCAGAGAAGTGATGTGAGCAGGTCTGGAAGCTCACCCTGGCAACGGTGAGCAGAGGATCTGAGAGGGAGAGGCTGGAGGATGGAGGCCATGCTGGACGGTGTCACGGTAGTCCAGGAAGAGAAGACTCTGCCTGAGCCGTGCCGAGGGAATGGCAGCACGCTGGCATATGCTGCTGTCCTCTTACCCAGCAGCCCCTCAGCCCTTTCTGAGTTTCACACACCGAGCTCGTCCCGCCTCCGGACCTGTGTTCTCGCTGTCGCCTCTGAAGCGCTTGGCCCCAGATCTTCACGTGATGGCTTGCCCAGTGCTTTCCTGGCCATCTCTAAGCTAGACTCCCTGACCTCACCTTGGGGACTGGACTTCACCTGTGTCTTCCTTGGTGCTCTTACCACTTTGTTTGGTGGTTTCCCTGCCCTCTGTCACCAGGATGTCAACCCTTGGGAGCAGGAACCTTGTCTGGTTACTCAGGGCTGTATCCACAGTGGCTAGCATGGAGCCTGGCACATAGGTGGTGGTTGGTAAATAAATGCCAAGCCAATGAAAGGTGTGAGTGGGAGGAAGATGTTGAGGATGATTCCAGGATTTCTAATTTCTGCAGCGTTGGTGGTATAGCGGTGAGCACAGCTGCCTTCCGAGATTGCCAGCTTTGGTGACAGGGCAGACAGGTGGGGAGGGAGCACGGGAGGAGAGATGTGAGGCTGGCTCTGGACTGATGGTGTTGAGTATTGGGAGTTACCCAGTTGCTGCTATAGCTAGAAAGACAGTTCTGAAAGCTCTAGACTCAACTAGCAATCCCGCAAAGAAGATGCCTGTGGGAGCCAGAGCAGGCCTGTGATGCCTCAGCTGTCCCCCAGCACAGGAGATCACCGCCAGGCCCGGATCGAGGCTGGAGATGAGCTAGGAGTGAGCAGTGCAAGGAAGAGGATGAGCTGAGATTGGGGCCTCATGAGGCCCCCGTTCTCCCAGGCGAGGGCCCCTCACTTGGAGGCACTCCTGTGCCCTTCAGAGGAGACAGATTCAGACAGGGTCTTCTCAGAAAGCTGGGGAATTCTTAGGGTCACTGAATGTCATGCAGCTCTTCTCACTGACCGGGGAGGTTTGGAGAAAGGGTTTCAGGGAAGCTTGGCTCATCGCTTCCTCCTGAGGGCCTTGGAGAGCTTGGGGTCTAGCTGAGAAGAACGAGACTCATTTCTCCCATTACTTTCCCAGATGATCGTCACCGGATCGAGGAGAAACGCAAAAGGACATACGAGACCTTCAAGAGCATCATGAAGAAGAGTCCTTTCAATGGTGAGGTGGGGGTGGGGAGAGTTAGAGAAGGCACGGGTGGGGGTGGGGGGGTGGAGACCCTGGGGGCCAAGAACTGACCCGGACCTGCTCCACAGGACCCACTGACCCCCGGCCTCCTCCCCGGCGCATTGCGGTACCTTCCCGCAGCTCGACTTCCGTCCCTAAGCCAGGTAACCATTTCCTATTGTCACTGGAATTAAAGGCTTGGATCTGTTCCGTCTGTGGCTCACACACGCGCGGGGAGAGGACAGAGTGGCCAGCCTCATCCGCAGGTGTCTGGAGAGGTAAAGGTGCAGGTCCCGGGCCGTTACACATCTGGAATCAGGAGCTTTGGAAGTGTGGTCAGGAGCCAGCCAATGCACAGAGAGGTCTGAGGACCGCTGTGCCCGTTAGAAACTCCAGATTGGATACCGGGGATCCAGAGTTAAAAAGGACAGTCTCTGCCTTCAGCTCTCAGTTGAATTAGGGAAACAAAAATCACATCCAAAGCAGCAAAATGCATGTGCTGGTGTGTGGCTCAGACAAGAGGTGTCCTTCAGGCCACACTTCCGGATACTCCGTGGGCCCATGCCTCCTGGGGCTTGGCTTTTCAGCTATAAGATGACACGTGACCAGCTGACTCCTGACAGCATCCCTTCCTGTGATGGCTGGGAGAGCTTTCTGGCTGGTGTGGATAGGGCTCCAAGGAGGTGGGGCTGGAACTGGACCCCCAGCCTAGACAGATTGGATGAAGGATGCTGGCCGTGACTCACAGGGAGGGGTTGGTCCTGTGCCTACTGATGGGCTGGGATACAGAGGACGGTGGGTCTCAGGCTTCCTCTGACCCTTTCTCTCTGTCTCTCTTCCAGCTCCCCAGCACTATCACTTTACGCCATCCTCCCTCAGCACCATCAACTTTGAGGAGTTTTCCCCCATGATCTTTTCTGAGCAGATCCCAACCCAGCCCTCAGCCATGGCACCAGCCCCTCTCTCAGCCATGGCACCTGCCCCTCCCTCAGCCATGGCACCTGCCCCTCCCTCAGCCATGGCACCTGCCCCTCCCTCAGCCATGGCACCAGCTCTGGTTCAGACCCCAGGCCCTGTCCAAATCCTAGCCTCCAGCCTTGCTCAGGCTGTGGCCCCGCCTGCCCCCAAGCCCACCCCGGCAGGGGAAGGGACACTGACGGAGGCCCTGCTACAGCTGCAGTTTGACGCTGATGAAGACCTGGGGTCTCTGCTGGGCAATAATTCTGACCCGGCCGTGTTCACGGACCTGGCATCTGTCGACAACTCTGAGTTTCAGCAGATGCTGAACCAGGGTGTGTCTATGGCCCCACACACAGCGGAGCCCATGCTGATGGAGTACCCTGAGGCTATAACACGCCTGGTGTCAGGGTCCCAGAATCCCCCTGACCCAGCTCCTGCTCCCCTGGGCCCCTCTGGCCTCTCCAACGGCCTCCTGTCAGGGGATGAAGACTTTTCCTCCATCGCAGACATGGACTTCTCAGCCCTGCTGAGTCAGATCAGCTCCTAAGTGGGGGTGACACCTGCCCTGCCCGCAGCACTGGGTGCAGAGATTGAAGCCCTGCCAAAGCAAGCACTTACGGATTCTGGGGGAGGGGTGCTCCGGCTGCCCCCCACTTCTTTGGGTGATGTCTTTGTGGTGGTGGGGGTTGCATTTTATTCTTTCATCGGCAATATCTCTCTCATTTTGGAGGTGCTTAAGCAGAAGCATTAACTTCTCTGGAAATGGCGTTTGGAGGACTCAGACCCCTTGTCCTGATGTTCAGCTCCTCTCTGTAGAGAATTCTGGAGGCTCCCATCACCACCCTCCAGCTTCTAGTACTCTCCTAGAGAGGGACAGGCTGGAGCTATGCTTTGGAGGCCACAAAGCCTTATTATCAAGTGTCTTCCTCAAATCATGGATTCATTTACACTTGAGCCAAAATGATGTCCCTGTTACCAGCTCTTCCGTGGTGCTGGCATTTCCCTTGTGCCTAACACCAGCATTTGAGAGGCTGGACTTCCTACCCTGCCAAGGACTCTTGCCGGCTCTTGCTTTGCTCAGCTGTGGCTGAGGAGACTGGTGGGACAGCTCTGGCCCTCTCCTCCCCATGATCCAGGGAGGTTAGGTCTGAGACTTTTCTGTTCCCCTTTTTTTAAGTGCCTTAATAGAAGGGCGAGTTGTTTGGAGAGTGGGGGGGAGGGCAGGCTGGCAGCTCTCCAGTCAACAGGCTCAGTTTTTACTGAAGAATCAAAGCAGTTGGACTCTTGCTTTCACTCTGAACTAATAAATTTGTTGCCAGGCCTATCAGAGGTTTGCCTTCTTTCATCACACTCACGTTGGTCACGTCAGACTGGGCACTGGTGATACAGATTTGGATGGATATTTAATCATTGGGGAGCTTGCCCTCTGAGGATGCCCTTGGAAACCCCTAGTCACTGTCCAGTGGAAGGCAGATAAGATGGGTGGGGTTCTCAGCTTAGTGAAGGCCTCGTAGGGCCTATTGGCTGTGGGGAACTTCAGCTCGTGGATACAGAGGAAGGTGGATTTCAAAGGGACCAGCCAGCATCTGTAGGTGAGCAGGGTAAAAGAACGGTGTGGAAGGTTCAATGGCGCCAGCATGGACTTCTCAGCCCTGCTGAGTCAGATCAGCTCCCAAGTGGGGGTGACACCTGCCTGCCCGGAGCACTGGGTGCAGAGATTGAAGCCCTCCCAAAGCAAGCAAGCACGGATTCTGGGGGAAAGATCAAGAATGCTGGACTAAGAGGGTTGGACTTCATCTCCTGGGTGGCCAAGGAAGAGTATCTGTTGGGGAAGTGAGTGGCAGGTAAAGGTCTGTGGTTTGGTGGCCTGTTCTAGGACCAAGCACCTAAGAAACCCTAACTCCGCAGCCCCACGGGGCCTAAACAAAGCCAGGCCAAGACCCAAAGGGCTAGAACAGAGGCATTTCCGGTTTGGCTTGACGCATGCGTAAAGGCGGATTCCGGCGCACTGAGCCCCGCCGCGAGGACCAGCCTTGCTGAGTGCGCATGCGCGCATGCAGTAGTCTGACCGGAAGCCAGGTAGCGCGCTGGGGAAAATCCCGGTTGGGTAGCAGATGACGTCTGTGTTCCGGGTGTTGCGCTGTTGCAGGAGGGTGAAGGCAGCGGCGAGCGGTTTATCAGTGGGACTTGCCACAGCAGCTGGCGAGGCTCGTGGGAGCACCGCAGAGGCTGGGCGCAGGGGCGGCGGGAAGTGGTGAAACCGGAAAGTGTCTAGCGTGGACCTCGCTGCAGCCTCTCGGTCAGGGGGCGGGGTCAGCGGCGGGGCCTGAACCTGGGTGAGCTCCGCAGGGGTCAGCACCGACTGCACTTCCGTGCGGGGGGCGGGGCCTGACGGGAGCGGCCGGGTCAAGACCCGGCGAACCTGCCAGGCAGCCCAGGGGAGGCGGGGCAGATGGAGCCCCGGTCCTGGGCCGCCGGAGGAGGGGCCTTGTCTGGTGAGAGGCTAACCCTACACTGAGGAAGTGGATGGCGGGGCAGGAGCTGCCCGAAATTTGGCCAACCTGCGGCTTAGAGGGGTCCTCCAGCCACGCCTCGGTCCGCTCTTCTTGGCATCCCCAGCGTCCGGCAGTGTCCTCCCGTGACCCCCGGAAACCCTTCCCACACTTCCTGAGTGACCTCATCCTGGTCAGGGCGCACCAGCCCCAAATCCTTATCTCCAGCTTAGACCTCTCTTCTGCGTGCCAGTCCACTGGACAGCTCACACCCACGTCCTCTCCAAAGAGCCCTGTTTCAAATGAGCAGAGCTATCCCCAGCCTCCGCTCCCCAGCTCCGCGATGCCCCTGCCCTCCAGGGGCTGCCACTGCGGATGCTGTGTTTTCTCCCCAAGCCCAGGTCCTGGCAAGCCTGCCGCTTCCTCCCCATCTCCACCCCTGTCACGCCTAGTTTAGGCTTCCACTCCCTCCCACCAGGGCTGCTGATACAGCTTCCTCCCTAGCTTTGCTTTCTCTGCAGCCAAATCTCGGCTCATTGGTCTCACGTTGAACATCTATCAACGACATGACCAGATTTGTGTTCTACAGACACACACCCAGAGGGCCCTTCAGGAGGGGAGTAGGCAGTGCCAGGCTTGGGAGCTCGGTGACTAGAGAGGAAAGGAGGCGCCTGCATGGGGGGAAGTAAGGAGGGGGGGCTTGCAAGGTGAAAAGGGGGTGGTCAGGCTCCTTGACCCCTAAACTCCATCTCTTCCCTGTCCTGCAGATCCACCCTCTGCCCCTGACCGCAGCCCATCAGGTTTGGCTCCATCAGGGACCTGGCTGGGCCTCGTTTGGATAACTAAGCAGAGCAGGTGTGAGTGTGGCCACGTGCCTCCTCCCACAGACCAAACGGATGTCCGTGAAAGAGAAGCCAAAGGTGGCTGCGCATCAGACACCCCTCAGTGAGCGCCAGCCCAGCCCGGTCCCCTGGGCCTGCCTTTCTGACAGGTCCTGGGAGCTGGCGTCTCTGAGAGCAGAACCCCTTCCCTGTCATGAACATCAAACGCAAACGACACAAGCTGCAGTGGCTTCTTTAATCCCTGAAGTCCCTTTCTCACAGAATATTTACAAACAGGAACGGGGAGGGCAACTCGGCCACCGGGAGTGGGCTGGGGAGTGGGGGCAGTGCTAAGACGCGCCCGTGCACAGGGCGAGTTCCTGAGGGGGCCGGGGGCCGTGTGACCCCGCGCCCTGAGACTGGGCAGTCCGAGCAGGCCCGCCGCCAGGCGGAGGCCGGCCCCGCGGCTCAGGCCAGGTCCGTGGCGGGCGAGCCCAGGTGCTTGGAGGCCAGGAGCAGGCGGTTGTTGTTCCGCAGGCTGCGGACCTCCTCCTCCAAGGCCGCTCGGTCTGCCTTCTCCTGGGGTGAGGGGCGAGGATGCAGAGTCAGAACGGTGGCCCCTTTCCTGTGTGGCCCCTGCCATTTCCCCGCACGCCCAGCCGCCCCGCACCTTCTGCAGGTCCTCCTGCAGCGTCCTGAGCAGCGACTCCAGGTGAGAGACCTTCTCCGACAGGCTCCTGGGTTCTGGCCTGAGCACACGGGGGTCAAGACTCAGCGGGACTGAGGCAGGGGTCAGACCACAGCCGGCCCCAGCCCCGCGGAGAGGGCAGCCCGTCTTCTCAGACGTATGTGTGGGCTTAAGTCCACTGCATGGGCACAGGTGGCGGTCACACAGACGCGGTGAAGGGGATAGGTCAGGGTGGGGAGCCTTACTCAGCATCAGGTTTTGGGGTTCCTCTGGCTTCTCCGCTCTCTGGGATGGGCTGTCCTGCGGGGAAAGAGGAACCCCAGGTCGGAAAAGGAAGTAAGAGCCCCGTCCTGGCCCCTCCCCGCAGCAGGCACCCTCAGTGGCCTCACCCTCCCGGGACAGCGACTCCAGGATGGTGTTGCAAGTGGAGGCGATTTCCGAGATGGACTGCCACTCGTCCTCCAGGGTCTCCGCGCCCGCCTCGGACATGACTGGGCACAGGAGGCGGGCTCAGCCAGGGAAGCCCGGGCCAGCCTGCCCACTGCCCACCTCCCGTCCTGAACTCCACCTGGCTCCCCCCTCACTTTTGCTGATGGAGTTTCGGAGAGACAAGGTTCGTGGCAGGAAGGAGGCCCTCATCTCTGGGGCCGGGTCACCTCTGTCCTCATCGCCGCTGGGGCCGGCCGGCCCGTCCTGAGGGGCGGGAACGGGTGTGGACGTAGTGACGCCCACTATCACCAGTGCCCACCCTGCCTGAAGGGCTCCGGAGCTTTGTTCCTGCTCACCTGGGCGGGGGGTGTCTCCCTGCCAGCACCGGGAGGTGGGGGCTTGGCCGTGGCGGCCAGCAGCAGGTCTGGGGTGGTGTTGGGCAGGACGGGGGCCTCATCTGACAGGGAGCTGGGAGAGCAAGGAGAGCTCAGCAGCAGAAGCTGCATCGCGGCCCTTGCTAGCAGAGGCCGCCTGTCCAGCCTCACTGGGCGAGGGGGGGTGGCAGCAAGGAGGGGGAGGGCGCCGAGAGGGCGCACCTGCAGGGCGATGGCGAGCTCTGGCTTTGCAGGAACTCGGTCCTCTCCTCCGCTAGGTCTCCGGGCCCCTGGGGGCCGCCGCCGCCGCCATCACTCAGGCACACATGCAGCAGCTGCTGCGTGGTGGGCATCAGGCCCACTTCGGGGGCCTCCTCCTGCACTGGCTCCGGGGCCCCGCGCCTGCTGGGCTCCTGCAGGGACAGCCTGTACAGCTCCGAGAAGCTCCTGGGGAGGAAGGGCAGCTTCAGGCGGGAACACCTGGTCCCCAGCATCCGCATCCCCAGCCCGCCATCAGCTGTGGGGCTCCCTTCCAGGAGGAGAGCCTGCCACACGCCCTCACAATGAGAACGTCAGCCTGGTTACGGGCCGTGTTCCCGGACCTAGACTCAACCCGCAGTGCCACCCTGAGTGTCCACGGCAAGTCACTCTGTCCCTTCTCCTCCTGGGAAGTGGGGTAATAGTCCTGAGCTCACACCACGCTGTGAGGTATGCCCGGCTGGTGTTGCTCAGTGATTTGAGCG